CCCTCGTCTTCATCACCCACGCCTTCCTTCCCATACACGAAGACCACCACCACCCGCTGACTGTGTCCGAGGCCCAGCCCGGCTAGAAAGGCTGGGCTATGGCGCTGCCCTCAGCAGCGCCCTGTATCCTCTCGACACCCGCGCACAAGCGTCCGCACCTCGCGCTAGTGCAGCAAGCAGCCCGCGAGTCTAAGCTCCAACAGTGCTGCCACCCGCAAGTGCAAGTGCTCGAATCCCCTGCTCTGCACCCTGCCCTTTCTTATATGGAAAGAGGCGGACACTCGCCTTTGCTACGCCCGCGTGAGACCGAGTTCCCAGTAGCTTCAGTCTCGGGCAAAGTGTCTGCGCCCAGGCCCAATTCAGACAGTGGCCTGGGACCGAATTGGTCAGGCATGCCCAACCACCCAGGCACAGACGTGCAATGCTCCCTGCTTCGACCACGTTGCTGGAAGAGCCTGGGAGGTTCACGAATATTTGGATTCTCAAGAGGAAAGCGGATTGTAACCAACTGGCGCGTGGCAACTGTCTGGCACCGACCAAGATTTGCAAAAACTGACGAGTTCAGGATGCATTAAGATTCAGGGGGCCCGCCTTCACTTAGGGCGGGCACGGGCCTGCTGCAGGGCCCTATGCCGAGGCATAAACCCTCGCACTCACTACCAGTGAGCTATTATTGTTTTTTCAAAAGGATGGCTGCTTCCAAGCCCACCTCCTGGTTGTAATTGCTCGATCACTGTTCCTTTCCCATTAAGTGATTGCTTTAGGACCTTATCATACAATCTGGGCTGTTCTCCTTTTGACTTTGGATCTTAGCAACCAAAAGTATGTCTTCACGATGCTCAGCTGCAAGTAGTCAGAGTGACAAGACAAATGAATGAACACAGTGAGGCCTGAAATATCCAAGATAAGCAGGCTGGCCAGCTATTTAAAAAAAACAGGAAAAAAAGAAGAAAAAGGATGACCACTGACCAGCTATGAGGGCACTTGTGGGCAACAAGCTACGAGGCTTTTCGGCTCACACAGCAAGACAATACACTCACCAACAAAAAAAAAAGAAAAAGAAAAGAACATGACAAGACAATACCATAGCCGTTCGTTCAGGCAAGCAAGCTATAGCTCTGCCTGCCTATGCCAGCGTAATTCAAGACCATGTCATTCATCACGAGGACCGAATGCATTGTGTATTCACATCACCACCGGTCGGGAGTCCGTCCATGCCAGGTAAAGGTGACAGCAACAACCAACCTGAATTTCCAAGATGAGCTTGTGATAGTCTACCGTTGTTGGGATCCCTATGGATAAACAACCACGACATAGGAAGCGAACAGGAGATCAGGTTTGGCACACAAACTATCAAGCTCATTTTCATCACATTTGGCGGCTGCTTATCTATTTAGTATTTACTATTTAGCATTTACTAACTTATTATTTAAATTCACACTGAAATCAGTCCCCAGGCACACGTTCAGTTATTAAACCACTGGTTCACATGAACCTACATAGGTCCAGTTATCAGTCCCCAGGTTCTTACTTACGAATCAAACTTGGTAAGTGGTTATCTCACCAACTAGCTAATCAGACGCATGTCTCTCCTAGGGTGGATTCCTCCTCTTACTACTCAGCTTATGGGATATTAGCAGCCGTTTTTCAAAATAGCGTATAAGAGTTTTTCGATGTGGGCCAGCTTTTCGATGTGGGCCAGGCCCATTAGTGAACACAGCAGGTCACTTTGAAGAAAACGGCAGTTGCAGGCTCGTGAGCTTTGGAACCTAGATTCGTCAACTTAGGCTTGTGTTTGTTAACTGTTGGTTTAATACACCCATATCGAAAAACCAAAAGCTCAGCAATTAGCATTCTTCAGATGAATTTCTGATACGACAATTCTGACCCTCGTTCGCCCTGTGTCATTTTCACTCCTAAACAATGCACACCAGTGCTGAACTTCCGGTCCGACCGGAGGGTCCTTGTTACATGCACAGATATGTGATGTTCGTAATAACCGAGGAACTGCAGTGTGATAAAAAGGACTGAAATGGATAATGCGGTGAGAGTAGAATCTCGACAGACAATGTGCATTCTCATACATACAAAAGTGCTGAATAGCGCAGGGAAGACTTAGATACAAAGACTGAC